TGTCCTGGGTCTGGGTTCCCACACCCCACTGCCTCTTACCTCCTGTGGAAAAGCTGCCTCTGTGGGCATCATGCCATTTCCTCTGAGGCACTGGCTTGAACACTGTTTCTTTTTTCTTTCTTTTTCTTTTTTTGTCAGCTGTGGGGCTTGAACTCTGGGCCTGGGCATTGTCCCTCAGCTTTTCAGCTCAAGGCAAGTGCTCTACCACTTGAGACACAGTGCCACTTCTGGTTTTCTGGTGGTTTATTGGAGATAAGAGTTTCGTGGACTTTCCTGCCCAGGCTGACTTTGAACCTCGATCCTCAGATCTCAGCCTCCTGAGTAGCTAGGATGACAGGCGTGAGCTACTGACGCCCAGCTTGAACACGTGTTTCTAGAGCTGTCTCCTGGCCCTAGTGATCTACTGTGCTCAGACATGAGTACCTTCTTAAAAGCAGTGCTGGATCCTGACCCCACAGAAGGGGCTCTGGAAGCAGGTGACCCATTACTGACAGACTGGGTGCCCAGGGGAACTAAGGCTGTGGAAGTAGACGCAGACGCGGCAGCAGTGTCCCTTGCAGCCCGAAGCCAGCGTGCAGCAGACCTTCCCAGGCACAGCGCACCTTCCTGCAGTGATTCCACCACGGGTGGGCTTGAGGGGCCCGCACAGCTGCCCAGGCCTCAAACTCACCGACGCCAGCGAGATGTCTGAACCAGCCGAGAGCAGGTCATGGTGTGCATCCTGGCCACACCCACAGAAGGGGGAGACCCGTCACAAGTGGCCGTGTAGAGCTTTGTTCCACCAGCCTGGGGAGAGCACCGCAGACACATGCAACACAGGGGCGGGCACAGGACAATTTTCCGTGCACTCTTATACCTGGGAGCCAGGCCAGCAGCAGATATCTGTTGCCTAGAAGCAGAGTGCACATATCCTGCTGATAAATGAGAAACAGCCTTGAGCTCAGCTCAGGCCTGCGCACCGCAGACACGCATTCCTTAGATCACAAAGCAGTTAGGTTGCCTTTCAGGAAGAGCTTAGAGTCCAGGGTAGCTGCAACCAGCTTCTCATGAACAAACGCGGAAGCCGTGAGTTCGCTGGGCAGTGATCTCACACACACACACACACACACACACACACACACACACACACACGTGCGCTCAAGCTCAAATTCCCCCCTGCAGAATGTTAAACCCCCAGAAAAGAGGCCCTCAACCTGCCTGGAGGCGTGGTGACTGTCCACACCTGCACAAAACACCCTCACCATACTTCCCCCTCCCCCCCCCCCCCCCCCGCTGCCCCGCCCGGCTGCCTCACCAGCCACAGGCAGACTTGAGTGGTTTTTATTTTCTTGTCTCTGAGGGTCTGCCCTCAATAAGCATCTTTCTCTTGCAAAGACACCCGCAGCCAGGCTTGTCTTCTGCCTGGTCTGGCAGCGGGCCCCGGCCCCGGCAGACTGTGGGACCTACTAAGGTGATAGCGCCTCCAAATGAAAGGAACGCTGCTGGGACTAGGCCCAGCCCCGCCCTGTGGAGGGCGTTCGGAAGGGTTTCTACCCTTGACCAGACAGCTCCTCCTGGGGAAGGAGCTGGGCTGGGGCAGAGGCCCTTGGAGAAGCAAGTGAGGAGCGGGGCCCTGAGGAAACCAACTCCAGGGTGCTAAGGCACCCAGCATCTTATTGCCAAGAAGCAAATGACTCTAATGAATGAGCCTGGAAGGAACTTTGCAAATAGGCCGTCAAAATGCTCAAAGCCGGGGCAGACTTCCCTGGGCACAAAGTATGGCGAAGTGGGCGAGGTGCAAAGGCATGTAGCCTGTTGGTACAGAATGGAGAAGGCACTGGGGTGCCTGTCACCAGCGGGCCTGCCCCACGAGCTGTGCTGACTGGTGTCGCCGTTGGCGACCACTGGCACGGGGACTGGTGAGATGCGCGGCCCTGCGCCCGCGACTGTCCTCTGCAACACAATATACCATTTACAAAGGAAGAACCACTCCAGCTGCATCTAGCAGCCATGAGAACACCAGGATGGATAACGAATCCAAACTCACTTTCCAGCTTGTTCCCATGACAAATTGTCTGGCTCAGTGATGAAGGGAAATGAGGCAGGCCACGCCCCCTCTCTGTACATCCAGTTAATTTTCCAGAAGCAAACCCAGGAACACAAGCTGGGAGCACAGGGTCGTCCAGGAGGACAGATGAAGACAGGGAGTTTTTGTGTTCTGAGGGGCAGGGGAGGTAAGGAATACGGAGTGTGGTTTTCTGAATTTTCCTGCGAGTGAACCGCACAAGGAGGAATGGCACGGGGCTAGAATGCCCTCTCCCTAAGGAGCCACGGCCAAGACGAGGCTTGACCAGGTGTTTCATGTGCTGGTGAGACGCTGCACGGTGTGGCTGTGGAGCAAGGAGAAGCCCATCAGCAGATCCAGACCACCCTGCTGCGCCGAATATCCCTGCTGGGCGGAGCATGGGTGCCAACAACTACAGAGCTGGTCGAAGGGGCGGGCGCCACGTGGACAGGCCTCCAGGCTCTCCAAGCCTGAGCGGGCTGGCTCGGTGGACCCTCCCGCTGCCTGGCCAGGGTCACAGGAAATCCTCGTCTTACCTTTCTTGCTCCGAGAAAGGATAGTTTCTAGTTGGTGAATCACTTAAAAAAAAACTTTTGTGCCAATAGTGGGGCTTGAACTCAGGGCTTGGGTGCTGTCTCTTAGCTTTTTTACTCAAGGCTCACACTCTGCCACTTGTGCCACAGGTCCGCCTTCAACTTTTTGCTGGTCAATTGGAGATAAAGTCTCAAGGATTTTCCTGCCAGGGCTGGCTTCGGATCTCACCTCGATCCTCAGACCTGTCTCCAGATAGCTAGGATCTCGGGTGTGAGTCACCACGCCTGGTTTCATCAACCACTTTTCAGTGGTGATGTAGATGTCATATATTGAGTATTCACTGCAGCTGAGAATCTGATTGAAGGCTACAGGGAAGATCTTTCCAAGCTTGCACAACATGATGGCCGTCAGGGGCGGTGAGATGGTGGAACGGGAGCATTGGCCAAGGAGCGCAGCTAGCTGTTAGGTCTCTGTGCTCTCTGGCACTGAGCAGTGGGCAGCCTTGTAAGCTTGTGGTACGTTGTGAAGGGCGGGGTCTAGGTAGCTGGGGAAGCTGTGTAGAGCCCTCCCCTCCCCCCCCCCAGGGTCTGGCTGGTGGGGGGGATGCCAGGACAGGGTCTCATGCAAACACGTTCGTGTTAAGTCTGCTGATCTAAGACACGGAGATGCTTTTGAGTCCCCTTCTCAGTGCCAGAATGCTGGGAAGTGCGAAGGGCTGGGGAACTGCACGGGCTGGTGAGTGCAGTGGTGGGTCTCAACCAGCCCTCCCGCAGGCATTTCCAGCCAGCTCCTGTTAACAGACACATTTGACTTAACAAGAGAACCTCAGCTGGTGCTCAACACGATTCTAAATGTTTCCCTGTTTGTTTATCCTAACACCAAACTCTAAACAAAAGAAAGGTACTTTATGTAAATTTTTAAAGTTATATGCTTACATTCATCCATCCCAATTCCACAACTATTTACTGAAAGCGCTCTTCTGAAAGGAGTGCAAGTGATCTACATGAAACTCATAACCAAGAGTTCATAATGAGGACATACTGAGAAACCCGTCCACATCAGGATCTATGACGTTACCGTATTCACAGACGTGCTGAATCTCATTTTATGCAAACCAAGCACAGCCAGCAAGCTCTTTTCTTTCTAAGTCTCCAACCTTAGCAGTTGTATTACTCAACAGCAGAAACGACAGAAAAGCAAACTTTATAAATCTTCAACTTGAATTTTTTTTCTTAGAACAAAAGGCTCGGGAAAACCACGTTCGTGTTTATCTAGCTAGGAAGGCAGCATTATAATCTCATGCAAGCTCCTGGAGACGGCCCTGAAAAGACCCTCCTGGGTAGGATGGAACTGGCCGGGTGTGCATACGCCGCAGGACGGAGGAAGGCCTCACCAACTCCCGCTGCATCTGAGACTACATGAGCAGCCACTTACCTTTCCCTCCCACACAGCAGCAAGGTGTATTCAAGCCATTCTTTGTTACAGATTGCACATTGAGCCCACATGCATTATTCATGGTAACTCCGCAGGGCAGGTGCCTCTTCTGTGTGAGCAGATGAGCACCGACTCAGGCGGGCCGGCCGCAGGGGCAGCGGTGGGATGGGAAGGGGTGGAAGGATACTGAAGGGGGACATGCACTTGCACGAGAAGGTACGTGGTGACGCCAGCGACCCTCCGGAGGGCTGTCAGCGCTCACGCGGGATGCCACATCCCTCCCAGCTTCAGGAGCAGGCTCATGCTAAATGGTTATTTGTTGCTGATCTGAAGTCCACATCTAAGTGGGATCTCAGTTTTCACTGTTTTAATCAGCCCGACTCTGGCACGTCGGGGGGAATGTCCGGCCACCGGGCTGTGTGAGGGCCTTCGTGAAGGCCTCTGGCACCTGGCTGCCCTGGGCCACGAGCCTGAATTGATAATTTCCTATCAAATGATGTTATAAATGTCCAAATAGTCCCTATCCAACAACAACCGACCCCCACATCCGTGCCCCTGAGGCTGATACGCCCTTCCCTGCCCGGTGTGTGCGTCACGGTGACAACATGAGGCCCCAGCAGGCACTGCAGCGGGAGACCACAACGGGATCACTTCCTTCCTCTGAGCAGGCTAACGTCAGCCCTGGAGTGGACTGACTGCTTTCAAAGCTTCTCAGCTGTGGAGATGGCGCTTACAGAACTGTCCCTGGACTAACACCGTCATCTCCATGGCCAGAGAGGGCTACGTGTTTCCCATCCTTATCTGAGTCTTAGTAAAGAACACAGTAAGAGAATCCTACTCTAAGGAAAATACTAAAAAGTAATACAGTCCATACTGCTCACCTCCCCCCCCCCCCCCCCGTGCCACACCTCCCAGACAGAGCTGGCCCAGGGTGCCCACCCCGCCTGGCACCCCGCTCACTCCATCCACCCTTGTGGAAGTGACTTACTTGTATGGGATGTGCTTGCTGCCGTTGACAAGAGCCAGGATGACGTTGCCTAGAGCGGACAGGGAGAGGCACAGCCCCGAGCCTCCCTCGCGGTTCTTGTTAAGCGTTTTCACACAGCTGCCGAGGTCAATGAGATGCAGACGGCTGCGACCGCCGGACACTAGAAGGAGAGGGGACAGGAGAAGAGAGAACAGGTAAGCTCCTTAAAGGATGGTAACATTTGTCCCTAATTGGCTTCTGGACAGCTGAGTTCTCAAACCCAAGTTAAGGCGGTTACTGTTGGCCCTGGTGATCATCACAGGACCTCAACTCAGCCAACAACCAGGCTGAAAGCGCAAGGTGCGAGCTGGAAGGAGGAGGAGCGGGCGAGGAGACGGGAGGACTGTGTCTGCTGAGTGTCCTCTGCCAGGCACACAAACCGAAATCTTGTTCCATGCTGAGGTGAAATGTTAAGCTACGTACTGGCACCCTTCTACCACAGATAAGGAAAAGTTCCTAAGACTTGATGCACTTGCCCTGAGTACTCGTGCTTTCGGAATTGATGACATTATGGGGACTAGATTGGTTCTCTTGCCTCAGGAAGCCCAAAACAGAATGAAACCCTAAAACGACCATTTTCAACCCACTTGGTGTTCTCTGGCGGTGGAAAGTGGGTGAGGCCAGCCCTCCCACGTGGCAAGAGCCTCGGGCTGAGGCTGAGGCAGGGGCCAGGGGAACCTGCGAGACCCCGGGCTTGGGGAGAGGGAGCTGAATGTCCCAAAGGCTGCAGCAGCAACAGCTCTCACAAGGGTGCTAGAAAGGAAACACGGTGGTGATCTGCACGCCTCTTGAGTATCCGCCTGAGCCCTGGACAGCACTTGCAAATGGGAAACGCCCCAGGCCGAGGACCGGCCATCTGACATGGCAGAGGAAGCCCCAGAGCTGGCACACAGCTGGCACACAGGCCAACAGCAGTCTGCTCCCAGCAGCCTGGCCGGAGAAGCTCCATGCCTGGGACTTGGTAGAGTATCGAGAAGCATTCTGCTCAGGGGAGGGAACGCTGGCAGGAGATGGAACGCTGAGCCAGCCCCATCTGAGAAATACTAAAAGCCCACAGAGGATGAAACTGCACCCCACGCACAACTCAAGAATGCTCCCAATGATAACCTACCTCTCTGGATACCTGTCACCCACAAAGAGAACCGGGTGCGGGCTGGCAAGCGGCTTCAGTGGTAGAGTCTGCCTGGCACGTTTAAGGTCCTGAGTTTCAACCCCAGTACCACCAGAACCTAAAAATAACTTACCAGGCATGCAAAATATGGTACAATAGCCAGTGGTGCCAGTGGATCAAGCCTGCAATCCTAGCTAGTTGAGAGGCCGTTCAAAGCCAGCTTGGGCAGGAAAGTCTACAAGGCTCTTATCTCTAATTAACCACCAAAAAAAGAGACGGGAATGAAGGTGTGGCTCAAGTGGCTCAAGCCTTGGACTAAAAAAGCTGAGGGACAGCACCCAGGCCCTGAGTTCAAGCCCCAGGACCAGCGCAAACTCATAAAGAAGATATATTAAACATTTTCAGGAGGAAAAACTGTATCACATGGGATGAAAAATTATCTTAATAGAATCAGTGGCAGATCAGACATTGTTAAAGCAAAGATGAGTAAATATGAAGATCTAGCAATATAAAATCTGAAAAATGAACTGCAGAGAGAAGTGTAAAACTTAGAAATAAACCAATAAGGAATAAAAAGGGCAGTTGTACAACTTCAAGTGTCCAAATACAGGCAATTACATTTCATGAGATAGGAAAAACAGTGTGTTACAGACCAAATAGTTAACAGTGGTAGGAGCCTCCTAAGTTTGATCTAAGACACTCCATCAGCCCTACGCAAAAGAAACATGAAGAAAATGACAGCGCAACACTTCATAATCACACTGCTCAAAACTAGTGAAGAAGAGAGAGAAAGCCAGGGAGAGAGCAGGCACATGAGGGATGAGCACTTTGAATATCCTTATTGAACGGCAGACTCGTCAGATGGGAAGGAAGTTCAATTCTACGATTGTGTTGTCCTTATAAAGTGTACGATGACACACATTTTCCAGAAGGTCACGTGCATGAGTAAGGAAACCGTAAGAGTTGGGTGGATGCAGGCAGGACGAGACAAAAGAGATCCAAGACAATTTTGTGAATGGAGTATATGTAATGACAAGGGGCCAATTGAAGAAAAAGCCACAATAAAATATGGTCACACCCTAATTACAGACGCGCAGATACACACAACAAAACGTGACAGGGCGTCGAGAAGAAAAAGACAGGCCCTGATTATTGTTGGAGAACTTAACTACTCATTCCTTAGTAACTGCTAGAACTAGCAGGCAGAAAAATCACAAGGATACAGATTTGCATTTGTCCCAATGGCAGCAGAATACACCCTCATTCAAAATGCACATACAACATTTACCAATGTATACCATATTCTGGTTGGCAAAACTTACAAACTGATGGCATTCATCTTACCGATGAGAAACTGAGCTTCAGATGCTAAGACACTGCCCAATCTCCAAGAAGATGAACACCACATCTAAGGTGGAGTCCAGAACTAGCCATGGAACAAGCAGATGCTCCTTCATCTCAGCTTGCCTAAGGAGGGAGGACCCTAGACTCCAATCCATGCCGGAATCACGGGGGGCCTCGTGAGTGCTCCTGTGTCCTCCTCCCTCTCCCAGGTTTCCTACTGGGACATGGGGTCATGTCAGACTTTTCCAGGTGATTCTAGTACACTGCCATGGGTGGGGTCTATTGTCTTAGAATGTGGCCCAATGAACCAGCTTCTCAATCAGCTGCCAAGAAGCACCCACAGACACCCGCAGCACACAGAATGCCCGTGGCTGTTTCTTCACCTTTACTCCCACAAAAGGAGTTGATGTGCCAACAGGTTCTAAGCCTATTTATGCTACTCACCTGTAAGTATCAGTATGATACTATGTGGCTTAGTAAAGAAAGGAAATGTTTCCATGAAAACTTAACTCACTGTTTTGAAAACATATGACTGGAAATGAAATTTAGAAAGGGTGCCGAGTTGGGTGTAAATGAGAAACTACAGAGTGGGGGAATTTTAAGCATGTAGAAAAAATAATCAATACCCAGTTGGCTACACACGTGTCTTTTAAGTTGTTGACTATCTTGGAAGAAATATTAAAGAGACCATTAATATGAGCATGGTTCATGAGAGTTAGAATTTTAGTTTGTAATTCACCTTGAAGTGCAAACATGACTGTATGTCATAAGATTATTGTGTACTGATTAGTGCCATTTATTAAGTTCAAATATTTATGAGTGACTCTGTTTCTAAAACAGTTTTCTCAATGAACCCTCCAACTCAGGATGATGTGGCCCAAGTTCTCCGAACATACACTCCCTGCGACAAGAAAGCCGTTGGGTGGTGTTTGTTAGACTCTTTCTCCCCACGACAGACCTGAGACAGCAGCTCACAGCAGAGTTACTATGGTCTCAGAGGCTTCAGGCCAGGGTCTCTTGGCCCCAGCAAAGCAGGCCTAAGGCGAGGGAGACTATCACGGCACTGGGAGCCCGTGGAGGAGGAGGCACCTCATGGCAGCCAGGAAGCAGAGATGAGTGACAGAAAGGGGAGGGACCAAGTCAAGATCCACCCTCAGTCCCTTCCCTCAGGGATTCATTTCCTCCCACACTTCCACCACCTCCCAAGAACACCATCAAATTCTGACTCGATTGATGAGATCTGAGCTCTCATGATCCAACTGTCTGGGGAATCCCTTCAGAGACACAACCAGAGGTAAGCATTGTTTATATCCTGAGCAGCTCTCAACCAATCAAGTTGGCAAGCAAGATTAACCATCCCAGGTGGTCATTCTCTTTCTGGAGGAAGCCATTCTGGATGACAAGGAAGCTCACATTCCACTGGACTTAACTGACAAGCGCCAAGCACCAACGTGCAGGCTCGAGACCAGATCTGTGGAGACTGAAGGTGGTAGACAAGGGGCCTCCAACTCCGTGGAGACCAAAGGTGGGTAATGGGCCTCTGTCTTCCAGAAGCAATGAAAATGAGGCAGAGTCAAACAAGGGCACGACATCCCCAAACTGGAACAGGATTCCAAGGAAAAAGCTTTAAGCCAGAGGCCAGCATCGGGAAGGTTTCCTTGGGCGGAAGCGGGGTTCCTGTTGTTGTTATTATACTATTGTTTTGTTATCATCCTGTTGCTATTGTCTCGTTCTTTCCTTCCCTCCTCTCTTCCAAGATGACACACAGAAAGACAGTGTGTGGAGTGTCACATTTGATGAAGTCCCAGAGGAGATACAAGGGAACAGGAGAAAAGCAAGAATGGAGGAGTAGATCCATGGGAGAAGCTTAGGGGAGAAGCTGAGGCATGGAGACAAGCAGGCCTTGAGCCTGAAAGTAGAACATCTGAGGGAGGACATCAGGTTCTTGCTGCCTCCTCAGTAAACAGGAAGCTGCTTTGCTCTGAGAGGGGCGTCGGGTGGGCAGGGGCTCAAAGAAAGACTGGAACTGCTGCGCTGTGGTGTGCTGCGCTGCCGCAGGCCTGCTGCCACAGGCAGGGGCCAGCTCTGGCCCCCTTAGGAGCCACATTCTGCCCCAGACCTTCTCAATAATGATCTTGAATCCCATCAGCTACACAGGCCTGGCTGACATAAGTGGTTCTGTGACCCGGGTGAAGAAAGGGCTGACTGTCGACAGGAAATCCAGACCAAGGAAACACAGGGGTTGACCTGTGGGTTCTGTGGTCCTGAGTACTGAGCTCACAGCCTCCATGCTTCCTGGGCAAGCGCTCTACCACTTGAGCCACACCCCAGCCTTACACATACAAAGAGGTGAGCATTGGCACAGACGTAAGCTTGAGTGCACACACACTCATTCTTGTGTGCCCAGCCCATACTGGCTCCCCCCATGACCCCCAAGAAACAAGGGGTGATGAACACATCGGCCCAACTGAGGTCATGGCTGCTGGCAAGCTTAGATTACTTATCAAAGTGATACTTCGGGAGATTGTCTTCTCAGCCAGGCATGGGGAGATGTCACCATAATCCAGCACTGGGGAGGCTGAGGCAGCAGGATCCTAAGTTTGAGGCCAGTCTGGGCTATACAGTGAAACCCTGTCTCACCAACTCAGAAATAAACTTTATAAACAAACAAGTCAAACCTGCTCGCATGGTGCTGTGCCCTGAACCATCACTCTACTTACTATCTTGTTTTAGGTGCTCACCCACCTCTGGCCACTTGGAGGTTGGTCCTCCACAGCTAGAATCCCCCAGGAGTGGACAGGCCATACCAGGGTCAGCAGGGAAGGCTTGGTGGCAGTGAGGAAACAGCCCGGGAGTGTTCTAGAACCCCTGGAAACCAGGAAGCTGTTTTACACCTGCCCTAGTGCCAGCTTCAAAGCAGTAATGCATCAGCCACGCCCTTCTCATTCTTGACCATGGCTGAAGGTGTGCATGTGCATATGTGTGTGTGCATGCACATCTGCAGGTGCCCATGTGCCTGTGCACGTATACACACAGAGACGTGTGCATACACGTACAAACAAATTATACACACAGAGACGTGTGCATACACGTACACACAAATGTATTTGGTTCCTGTGCCAGAGACCTCTGAGCTCATCTTCTAACTGGTTCACAGCAGTGGCTCTGTTCTCCGTCTCCCTGCAGGGTGGCTAATTAATAAACTTTCCCTTAATTGAGTTCTGGCTGCCGAGTCTACAGGGATTATTTCTTATATATAAGCAAACAAAATTTCCATTTTAAACAGCACTCCAGATCTTCTCATTATATATTAACTATATGAAGTCAAGCGAGCGCTCGGCTGGGAAGCTTCCAGGCCTGACCTCTTCCCTGGAGAAGCCAGACCTGCTGGCGGGCAAGGGGAGGACCCAGTGCTCTGGGGTCCCCTGCAGCAGCCCGAACCCCACTTCAGCCCTCTATTCTCATCTTCAGCAGCATCAGAAGGGACCCACGGGAGGGCTGAAGAGCCATCAGCCACATCTGCCTTTTCATTCCACCTGGATTAATTATTAAAAAGCAATTCGCTTTCCCATTTAAAAACAGGAAGAAGATGAGTTTGGAGTTGAATATTTAATGAGGCCCTGGACTGACCAGATACCAGGAGAGGGTGGGGAGAGGTGTTGGCCTTTGGGGCTAAGGTCAAGTTCTCTCCTAAGCTGGTGGAAGTCGAATTTCAGGTCCTTACAGTTGAAGCCCTTGAACTGACTGTTTTCCTTATTTGTGTGGCTTCAGTGACAGCAGAATGGAGGAACACAAGGGAAGAGCTGGAAGAGTCGCTCCCAGCGTGCTTTGCAGGGCCCCTCAGCACCGTGGGAGCACACACGAGGCTCAGCACTGGGGTCTGGAGCAGCTCTGCTGGCTACAGTGCCGGCATGTGACTAGCAACAGCTGCTTAGAAAATAAACAGTCTGAAGACTATTCCATTCACTGCGCGGGATCCCACCAGAGCCGAGGGCCGGCTGCCTCCGGGGCCCCAGAAGTGTGCGGTGGGCACACCAGCGCACCGTCTTCCTCTCCCACCCCTTCTAAACAGAAGCACCTCACATGGCGTGGGCTCTCTTTGGGGAGCTGATGGCCCCTTAAAGATCGCCACTCGACAGTTTCTGCTCTCCCCAGTGAAGCCCGCCGCCATGGTGTGTGGAGAAGGGGCTGGCTCCTGTCTGAGGTGCCCATCGCTGCCCTTGACAACCATGTCTGGGGATCCCTCGGTCACCGCCCAGGCCATGCAGCCTCCCCCGGGGGAGGGGCATTTTCCCTCAGCCTGGGCGTGGGGGCGGGCAGGTCTGGGGCTCCAGGGCCGGTTGGAATTAAAGAAGCAGGCAGCCAGGGAGAAAAAGCAAGCAGGACCGGGACCAATGGCAGAGGCGCTGATGAGTGCGGGAGCGGCGCAGGTATGGGCCACGCAAGTCCACTTTCAGGCTGCTCTAGAGAAAGGACCAAGCCAAAGCCGAGCTGGCGGGGGTGGGCGGGGGTGGGCGGCTGTCAGGCCCGGGGTCCTGTGGAGGGGAACCGTGCCCAGAACACTGGCTGGCAAGGAGACTCGGGAGAGACGTGGAGCACGGTCCCAAGGCCTCGGCTGCATAGGTCATTTGAGGCTTCAGCAAGAGGCTTGTTGATGGCTTCTGTTTTGGGCAGCTGGGTTTATCATTCCCCAGCCAAGGTTCCTCTCCTGACCCTTTTCTGGCATCCGGTGTCCTTGAGATGTTCACTCAGAAAGCACTGGGGACCCGGCTTGGGTTCCAAAGCCCTGAGGAGGGCCTGTGCCATGGGAGCCCCTCGGGCCAGCCCAGCATGAGGCCCACAGCTCCATTTTGGCTTTTGGGTGGTTAATGGAGAATAGAACCTCAAGGACTTTCCTGCCCAGGCTGGCTTCGAACCAGGATCCTCCGCTTTCCACCGCCTGAGTAGCTAGATACCTTTCATTTTTTAAGTTTGTTCATTTACATCCCTGTGATCACAGCACCAATCTTTTACCCTTGAGGAGTTCAAAGGTGACCTTGAGCCTAGACTCCACAATCCCCATGAATCACAAATCACTGAGCCAGACCCGGCACAGGCAGGTGCGAGCGCGGGGGACACAGGCCAGGGCAGAGGGGACTTACTTCCGCCCTTGCCGCTCTTCTCCATGCGGTACTGGTAGATGTGCAGCGTGAAGAGCATGTGGGAGTTGCGGTGGTCGTCCTCATCGCAGTCCTGCTGGCTGACCCGGCGAGAGGCGATGGCGGCGTCCAGGAAGAAGGCGGCCTTCTCGGCCGTGGGGGCCCGCAGCTCGCTCTGGTTCTGGAGCTGAGGAGAAAGCGGAGAGCTGAGGCCCCAGGCCAGGGTGTCCACCACTTGACACGGCAAAGCCCCGGCCTCTCCCTCGGGAGAGGTACCGCCAGCGTCCTTCAGACCCAGGTCCCCTGCTCATAGGCCAGGCTCAGCTTAGTTCACTCATTTCCGGAAATGCATGCTGGGCCCATTTACTGGACACAACCTGCGTGTGCCAATTTGGTGGCTGAGGTACAGCGGTTGGCTGTCAGAGCAAGCGGCTGGATCTGAGAGGTGCGTGGGCATGAGCGACCGCCTTACCTTGCCAAGGACAGCCAGTGAGAACCCCACTCCCTAAGAAAACACGCCGGTGGGGCGGAACCGAGTCTCATCTCAGCGCTCAGCGTTGGGTCACAAAATGGGATGCAGAGCTGACAGCGCCGATGCTCTGGTTATTGTTCCTGGACTCCTAACTCTCAGTTATTAAGTACAGCTGCTTTGGACTGTTTGCTGGCATCGCTATGAATAAGAAGTCCATGCAGATGTTACCCGGAAACACCCAGACTCCAGGCCGTCCCATCTGGATTAAGAAATAAGCATTTTTGACCTTTGTCCTGAGTGGCTGCCAAGCTGGGCCGCTGACCATCAGACAGAGTGAACTCTTGGCCGAATATCAGAGCGTCTGGATCAGCCAGTATTCCTTTATGCAGAACAAAAGGAAACTACAAGTTTTTGTTTGTTTTGGGGGGGACAGGTCTCCCTGTCGGAACCCCTGTGGTGGGGCTGAGCAGTCAGTGTGTGGACCAGAGCCTTGGTGACTCTGATGTAGACTCTGGGATCTGCAGGGGATGGGAGACCTGGTGCTGTGGGCAGAGGCTGGGGAGGTGGGTGGCACTGAGGCTGCAGCGTCCTCACCCTTGCTAGGGTGGGGCCAGTTCCCATCTAACAAATCCCCTATCTAAAATAGGAGGCCACTGAGGATGTGGGTAGTGACTCATGTATAGTATCAGTTTCTCAGGGGGGTGGAGACCAAGAGGATTGCGGGATGAGGCTAAGTTAATGAGAGTACAACCCAACTAACAAGCTGTACAGGCAGGAGGATGCCAGTCTGAGATAAGCCCGAGACAAGCCAGACCCTACCTGAAAAATGAAAGCAATACAGGGCTGGAGACATGGCTCAAGGGTGTACACAAGGCCCTGAGTTCAAACCTCAGTCCAGACAAATAAATACATACATACATACGTACATAAATAAATAGATAAATGTAGACAATAAAACCCAGTGACACCCTGAGAAGATGAACCGAGCTTCTCCTGGCTTCCGTAGCCATCGCAGTTACATCACTGTTCTAATTAGAATGTAGTTATTACTTCTTCCTACAGCATTGCTAATCTGGCTGTAAACCAACACCAGAAACACAGTTTACAGAGCTATAAACAGCCCAGTAATGATGCCACTATTTGTGTGGCGCAGTAAATATTTCTGTTTGTTGTTAAACAAAAGAAAGATGGTACTATTTTTCTTTCTTGGGATGGGTGTAAAGGATGGGGAGCTATTTCCTCAAATGCACGGACACTGCGGCTCCCACTCTCAGTCAGTGTCCAACAAGGAACAGAAATTTAGGCTGGGTGAGCCGATGGGCTGCATGGCTCCGGCACTGCGTCTCGGGTGGAGCTTCCCGGCCTGCTGGGTGGGCCTGAGTCCCACGGGCAAGCTGGCTTCCTGGCCAAGTTACCTGTGTGCCGCAGATGGGGTCCTCACAGAGGTACACGCCAGGGGACTGGCCGTCCTGCAGGCTGCCTGTGGCCACCTCTGACAGCAGGTCCCGCAGATTCTCTTCTTTCCCCCACACCTCCACAGCTGAGATCCGGACTGAGAAACGGGCTCCGGTCTTCTCTTTGCGTTCGTTGATCAGTTTGAAGAGCCAAGAGATGGCGCAGGGGATGATGCCCAGGTTCTGCATGGAGTCGTCCTTTCCGATCATGGTGTAGGATTTTCCTGCAAGAGCCCGTGAAGGCGGGAAAGCAGCTCAAAACCAGAGGCAGGGGCAAAGAGGGGGGCACAGAGGAGTGGCGAGGGGAAAGGAAGAGAAGCAGCCAACGGCGTCCCTGGGAGCTCTGCGGACCGAGCGCGTGCCTCCGTGTGCTGCGTGCCTCCGGCCTCCACGTGCCTCAGGCCTCCCCGTGCATCCGCTCCGGCTGCTGCATGGTTTTACGTGCGCTGGGCAGGCAAGCGCTTCTTATCACAATGATGGCTCTTTTTATCGCCACCCCACAGATTTAATCCACATAGTCACGCTTTATATCCTTGCTCAAGTTAAATGCTGTGTATATTTTTATAGCCCAAGTAAATTCCATTAAAATCTGGGCCACTACTTTGAGTAGAAGCAGGGGAGAAGAAAGCGGAAGGGAAGATAGGTGACAAGGACGCGGGGGGGGGGGGGGGGGGGCCTCTCCTGCCCAGAGCCCAGGCTCCCTTGGAGGCCTGGGGCCATCCCTGTCAAGGGACACCTTGTAGGACCCTTCTCCAAATTGGGACCTTACTGAGCAAGTCAGGCAAGGCCTGGCGAGCGGCCAAATGCCGAGGTCAGGACAGAGAAAGCGCAGCAGAGGGGCAGGCGGCATGGCTCTCTGCCCTTTCCTTCCCAGGGGGCCATGGGCACCTTCCCCACTTGCTGGGCTCCCCTAGCGTTTCCAAGTCCAGGCACCACCCAGTTCCCCCGTCCCCCGAAAGAGCAGCATGTAATCAAGCTGTCACTGACCTAACTTGGCATGGCCAAAACAGAACACACAGCCGTCTGCACCATTCACCACCGACTGGATCACCTCCGCCACCGTTCCAGCGCACACTTCAGCCTGTGGGACAGAAAAGAGACACCGGCAGTGAATGCACCATGCACAACCGGGCACCATCAGTGACTAGCTGGGAGCCCATTTCCTGGCACACAGGATCCCAGCACCACCGTGCTCCTGGCGTGTCAGCCCTGGCCACAGAGCTCTGGAAAACCCCAGAGCCATGGGACCCTCCTCCCCTCCACAGTGGTCACTGCACACCACCCACGGACCCCTCGGCTCACTGGTGCTGCCCCGTGGCATCTGTGGATGGAGGGGGGTGAGATGCTCCTGGACCCATTTCCCCTCCCACCTGCCATTCCAGCCTGCTGACCAAGTGTTTCAACTCTACTGCCTCCTGCTTACTAGATCCTTTCACACGCACGCTGCCAGGCTTAGCAGAAGGAAACCAGTGATGGGTGAGCAGCACAGGAATACAGACCTAATGTACACAGAGGCTCATGATGCATGCCTTCTCTCCCTTCACTTTCTTCTTTCTTAGTCCATGTTCTCCTTGGTTCAAAACTGGCCTTTTCTTCCTTTCTTTGCACGTGAGCTTAGTGTAAACCACCTGTCAGGATGCTCAGCCTGGCCGTGTCTCATCCCTAACCTGGTTTAACCAGCGAGGGGCCTGGTTCTTGGTGGCTGTGGGTATGTCCCCAGGATGCTGAGAGCCCACAGAGCCCTGCACACAGCAGGAGCTCAGTGAACCATGGGCCCAGCTTGAGGACCAGTCAGTCTAGTTCGCATCTGAGACAACTGCAGGAGGAGGACAAGACTGTCTCCACGCACTCACGCCCTCATTTCTGTCTCGAGCCAGCACTGGTCTTGCGAAGGCACTGGGGCCTGGGCCAGGCTGGGCTCTGTGGTCCCGAGCCGAGCTGCATGTGCCTCCTGGCAGGAATCTGAACACCCTCAGCCATAGCCAGCCTTGTGCTTGTCAGCTCCAGGGCTCAGCAGCACAAGGAACCTAAACAAATACTTGAAAAACAATTTCTCTTCCAAACTGGCTCTGGGGTGATCCCTCCACAGCCCTGCTGGGGGCAGCCGACGGGGCTGGTGAGCCTCAGGACCTTGTTCAAGCCTCGGGATGGAGCCAGCGGGAGCCTGGCACTGGTCCTGAGAGCGAGTGGGAGACCAGGAGGAGGCTGCCACAGGCGCCTCTGCAGAGCTGGGGAATTTTTGCCCATGGGCGCTGCTTCCTTTGGACGAGGAGTGAGGTGGGGGGCCGGAGGCTGCAGGCCCGCTGTGGCCATACGCAACAGACCATGAAGAGTCTCAAGCCACCGGGAGAACACTGGCTGTGTGTGGCCCTCACCGGGCCACCTGTGTAGAGATGAGCGGATGGTGGAGACGCAGGCGTGGCTCACGCGGTGCAGGTGGCAGGCAGCCTCCTTGACGGGGAAGGCCCTGCCTGGGTGGACCCTGACCTGACCTCCCTCTGTGTGTAAAGAGCTGACCGTGGCCTGGGAAATGGCTTGCTGCTTCTGCTGTGTATGTGACACAGCTCCTGGTGTGACACAGGAGCCGTGTGAATATCTCTACCGCCTGACCACAGGGAGGAAGTTCACAGGCTGGCACTGTAGTCCTCACGCTCTGCTCTGGACTTCTAATTACCGTGCCACACATAGTGGTGCATACGTCTTAGTATTAGAAGTTTATAGAATGACGCTAGTGTCTGACACACCATGAAAGCAGGGCAGGCTACTCGTATACCCATGGCCTTGATTATTTCCCTATGGTGCTGAGGATTATTTGCTTATGTTCCCGGGCATGCTACATTCATGTCTGTCTACTGAGCCATCACCCCAGTTCTGGGCTATTGATTAGTTTCTGCATTTGTCAACCTGATGTTCATGTTACTTCCTTAGCCTTTAGATTTCAGACCCTATTTGATGCTACTTAGAGCTCTGTGTTCTCCAAAGCTCTGGAGGCCAATACCAGCGGGAACAGGTATCTACTAGACTCTTTGGTTGAACCATCCAGGTCAGGTACTTCCTTGACTGCTTGTGATCCAGGAATCTCAATACCAGAGACTCAGAGCAGACCCCGAATTATACTGGTAATATGTCAGGAAAAATGACCCTGCTTCTCCATCGCTCCCTGTGTGCATGCTCTTCACAATGCAGCTTGTATCATCCGATCAGAGTCTCTCCCCCTGCCTGATGTCTAGAAAAATAGAATTCAGCGAAAGGATGCGGCATCAACCCTGAGCCTGTCGCTGCCATGAGAACAAGCTTGGGCTAGCCTGATGGACAATGCGGAAGGCACTGTGGGAGAGAGACATGCCAAGCCAGCCCAGAGCCAGCCAACCCCAATGTGATGTGCCCAGCCAAGGTCCTCAGAATTGTTTTCTCAAGCTGCTGTTCATAATGGGCACATCAGCGAGCTGAACGAGCAGAACTGTTCAGAGGACCCAGGAACAATAGCAAATTCTTACTGCTTGTTTTAAGTGTGAAATTGAGAGTGCTAGCCCACATACCCTGGTCATGGATGCATGCTGGCCTTGGTTTCCCTGTTAAACACTCCAGCGCCTAGCTAGGACACGGGCTGGCCTTCAACCTCACTGGATCCATACAGGTAAGGCTGCTGCTGACTCTGACTCCAGATCCCTGCACCGTGTTTACCTGCCCACAGCCCGAGGCCCAGGCAGGGACCAGCTGGCTTGCTCTTCCTCCTCCCCAAGGTGCATTTTGTCAAAATCCCAGCACATAGACGCTGCTGACGTCAGGAAGTGTACGTATCCACTAGAGCTCTGCAGGCTCCTAAAGGTAGGAGGAGCCGGTTCTCAGGGAGCTCCTTGGTCTCGGGTCACTCCCAGGGAGGAGTGGACAGGCTGGAGAGGAGCTCCTACTCACCTGAGAGGCATCTTGTGGGAAAACGGCGTCAAAGGCGAACATCTTAGGCGGCACCTGGCTGGCCCTCTTGGGGAAGGCCTTCTGACCACACGTCAGCGGGTCGTACAGTGTGACCTGCTTCTTCCGAGGATCTGCCTTTAAGAAGGAGCTGGATTCCGATGAGTCACGGGCCAGCGTGGAGCAGATGCGCAGCATCACTTTCACCTGTAAGGAAACGGGCGGGAAAGCGTGCGGTCAGGACAGCCTTGCCTTCACGAAGGAGCGCTTCCCGGTGCTCCTCTCGGGAGCACTGGCCTCTCCTGGGACACACAGTTATGTGAGGGGCAGTGAGTGAGTGACCTGATCCTTGCTGGGTCCTAGGAAAGCTGATGTATGTATAATTACCAGGTAGAATATTACGGTAATGCAGAGATGGCACACCGTGTTCTTTGTCTTCTTATTAATGTAAATTAAAAACTAACTGCCCTGGTGGCCCAATTACGTAGATGGAAAGGTAATCTGAGCTCTAGCAGGCAGTGCGATTCACTTGCAGCTTGCAGATCAATAAACCATGCACATAAAACTTTAGCTCTGTAATTTACTCCCTAGCTCGGCTCATCAGGATTTGGGGAGACAAAACCCCATGTCATCGTGTCATCGTTAAAGCCCTGTGAAATGGCCTGTTGGTAATGGCCAGCATCTGAAATGTGTTCTACGGCAACAGTGATAAAAGATTGGCTGCAACATGTTATTTGGGATCCCATTAAGTGAGCACAGAGAAGTTGTCATTTCAGGCACTGAGAGTGCATCTCAGTGGGGAACAGCAGGCAGAGCCCTTTAACTCACCTTCTGAGTCACTGAGCATGAGCATCTGCGGTACTCAACACCAACCCCGCCCACCCATGGCCAAGAACAGCTGTCGTGGAAATACGCAGCCCCTCTCACAGCCCTCAGCTAAGCACAGATCTAGCTGAAGCCACACATGGTCCAGAGGCCATATTATCCTCTTACAGCTTCGTTGCTGTGCTGCCAGTTTATCCAATACAGGATGCGCACTTTCTCCAAGTACCTAGCCCTGGGCTAGGCTCAGGGCTACAAGGGTTCAAGGTGCAACAGCAGCCAGTCAGGTGCTGAGACAGATTTGTAAATGCAAGCTCAAGGATTATTATTAAACCCTAACCAATGGAGAAGCTTGCGAAATCTCCATCATGAAATTCTGGAGTGAGTGGCTGTCAATTTTTAACTCAGGTGTTTCCAACATACAGAAATGCTGAGCTGCTAACATACCGTGCAGAGTGGGGTGAGATCACCATCCTCCGGCCAGCCTCGGCCCTGCCCTCGGACCATCGGTGGCATACGAGGCCGGAACTGAAAAATGCCAAGGGCCCTGGGCTCAGGGCATGACCGGTGCTGGGCCTGGGCTCCACTGGCCCTGATGAGTTAATTATAGACCCCAGTGGGGATGAGAGGCCAGGCCTATCAGAGGATGGCACCCAAAGCTGGGATGAGACCGGCCTTCCAGGGTTCAAATCTTAATCCCCCATTGAGAACACTGAATGGCGCCTGCCATGGGGAGGGGCGTGTGTCGTGTGCCAGGCCTGCTCTGCCACTCGCATTAAACCACGGAACCCTTCTGGCAGGCAGGCTCACGGGGAGGAAAAGACGTTCCACGTCACTGCATGGTGAGTGGGAAGGCTGGGCCTAAACCCACCCTGGTGCCCATGCTTTCCCTCTCATGCCAACTCCTGCCTTCCACAGTCCAGGGGCATCGAGCCTCAGGTTTCTCCCTGTGCGATTGGACTAACAAAGCCTGGTGTGCTATCACAAAAATTCAACAGGCACATGAAGTGCTGAGTGTGGTACTGAGCACGTGGGGTGCTAAATGTGATACTAAACACATGGGGTACTGAATGTGATACTAAGCACGTGGGGAACTGAATGTGATACTAAGCACGTGGGGAACTGAATGTGATACTGAGCACATGGGGTGCTGAATGTGATACTGAGCACGTGGGGTACTGAATGTGATACTGAGCACGTGGGGTACTGAATGTGATACTGAGCACATGGGGTACTGAATGTGGTACTGAGCACATGGGGTACTGAATGTAATACTGAGCATGTGGGGTACTGAATGTGATACTGAGCACATGGGGTGCTGAATGTGATACTGAGCACATGGCACATGGGGTACTGAATGTGATACTGAGCACATGGGGTACTGAATGTGGTACTGAGCACGTGGGGTACTGAATGTGGTACTGAGCACATGGGGTGCTGAGTGTGGTTCTAAGCACGTGGGGTACTGAATGTGATACTAAGCACATGGGGAACTGAATGTGATACTGAGCACATGGGGAACTGAATGTGATACTGAGCACGTGGGGTGCTGAATGTGATACTGAGCACATGGGGTACTGAATGTGGTACTGAGCACATGGGGTGCTGAGTGTGGTACTAAGCACGTGGGGTACTGAATGTGATACTGAGCACGTGGGGTACTGAATGTGATACTGAGCACGTGGGGTACTGAATGTGATACTGAGCACATGGGGTGCTGAACATGGCACTGAGCATGGAAGTGCTCAATTCTTGGTTTTCTTCCACTCTCTTTTCCTCACTTGGCTCCCTCCAGGTCTTGATCTCCCATCATTTCCCAATGGAATGCCTTTCCCTGGACTCTGGGAACCTTCAGCCCCAAGCAGGACTGGAGGTGTTGGGCTCGTATTTAGACATGAGGCTTCTCCTTGGCCAGCACTGGACCCCAGAGCTGACACCCCCGGTGATCACCGCCAGCTCACCGCGGTGTTTGTGTGTTTCCTCTGCCCCCAGGCTGATCTCAGCTCCTCTCAGCCCTATAGTATGTCCAGCTACGCAGCAGGGACGCGCAGCCCCCCGCCGCGGCCTCTGGGCATGGGCTTGGCCCCAGGGTTTCCACCTGACTCCTGGACCACACAGGTCACGGGTGATGAGGCCCCAGCAGAACTGACTGAACTACATAGCCTGTGGCATTTCCACTTGGGATTTGTCGTGCCACTTGTGAGTGCCGAGAGGTGCGGCGTGTAAAACATGAGCCGCTGAGCGGGCAGCAGGAGGACGGCAGACTGGGCGGCTGCTTGTCCACGAGGCCACGCCTGCGTGTTACTCACGTGCCACGTCGGGGGCCGCTCTGAAGCCCCAGCCCGGGTGGCCGAGGAGGGAGCAGAGCTTTAAGCCCCCGGGAGACTGGGAGCTGGACAAAATGCCAGCTTCCTTCTCTTCTTCACAAGTCTTCAAATACATGGGTATTTTTCACTCTAAAGGAAGAAATGGAGCGTGGCACTCCACCTCCTTTGTGTCGTCATTCTGTCGGTCCGCACGCCACTTCCTGCCTGGCCCGCTGTAACGGGGTCCTTGGACACCTTGCCAAGAGCCCCAGCTTTCATTACATACATGAGACTCGTGGACAAATTAAGTTCAATCCCACTCCTCCCGGCTGCCCCGCACAGAGGCCCGGCCCGCGCTTCCGACAGCTGAGTCTCCTTCTCCCCTCCTCTTGGGGAGGCAGCGCGGCCACGCTGCAGGCGCAGAATGGAGCCAGAAAGCCAAAGGAATAGCGAATGGATGCCATGCAGGCGGTCCTGACAAGGACTGTGCCCGCTGAGGGAAGCCCGGTGTCCACTGTGCACACTGAGGGAAGCCCGGTGCCCGCTGAGGGGAGCCCGGTGCCCACTGTGCCCGCTGAGGGAAGCCCAGTGCCCGCTGAGGGGAGCCCGGTGCCCACTGTGCCCGCTGAGGAGAGCCCGGTGCCCACTGTGCCCGCTGAGGAGAGCCTGGTGTCCACTGTGCCCGCTGAGGGGAGCCCGGTGCCCACTGTGCCCACTGAGGAGAGCCTGGTGCCCGCTGTGTCCGCTGAGGAGAGCCCGGTGCCCGCTGTGCCCACTGAGGGGAGCCCAGTGTCCACTGTGCCCGCTGAGGGGAGCCCGGTATCTGCTCAGGCCCACACCACTCCCCCTAGCTACCGGCCACCGTGGCTCCACAGCATATCCAAAGCCGCGCTGTCCCAGATGTTGGCACATGGCCTGGCCATATGGGCCACCAGGCCCCTTGGCGTCCTTATCCCTCGATGGACAGATGTCAAGAGCAGCAGAAAGTAATCAACTGCACCGCAGTGCACAGACACAGAGAAGCACAGGTGGACCTCCAGGTCCCCAGGCTGCACATCCACAGGCTCGAGGCTCCTGGGGGAAGATCCACCTGTACCAGCACCACGTGGACCTCTGTCCCCATCACCACGTTCTGTGCAACCCTACACTGTGGACACAGCACGCACAGCATCAGGTGGCATGCGTGATTGCCTGACGGTTTAACGTACACGTGAGGGGGGAATGGGGCACTGTATATAAAGAACCTGAGCACCCACAGGATTTGGTGTTCGGGGGACCCTGGAGCCAGTTCCCATGGACACTGAAGGATGACTGGACTGTCTTAGGAAAGGAAGAATATCCATTTTCCTCAAATCACCTAGTATGAAATAGACTTCCTAAATCAAATTAACAGAACTACAACTCTTCTCCTGGGTTTAATACTATAAATTAAAGCAAAATTAAACACATACATCACAGAGATGAGAGAGACAGAAACCAAATTATTTTCTTTCCTCTTCCCGTCAACACTGAAGAATGTCTGATCGGCTCACATCTTCGGTAAAGGTGAGAAACCCACACAAGATTGGATGTGCACTCCGGGCTAGCCGTGGCATTTCTCTAGAATATTCTCCTTTCCTTCTGTCCTAACCAGGCTGTGTGATGGACCAGCGTGTGGGCTGTTCCAGGGCAGTGCCCAGCCCTTCCCCCTGAGATGATGCGGTGGACCGGAGCCATGCACATCCGCTCTTCTCAAGATACCGGCTGCCCTGTCCTGCCCTGCCCTGCTGGAGACGCAGCAGCTCCCGAATCCTCTGTGCCTTGACTTCTGATATACATATCCCAAAGACGCTGATGAAGCGCCATCTCCAAAAACTCACCGCAAGGGACAGGGGTGTCATTTCCCAGCCATTGTTTAATGCAAAATTATATTGCCAAATCACGAACGATACACTAAACTCCATAAATATAACTTTCCATTTCTTTTCTCAACCCAACAGGAGAGGATGAAAACGTTAAAAAGTCCAGATTTATATAAGGAGAAAGTTTAAATAATAAATGTAAATGTTCTGAAATCTCTCCGATTGAAGGAAGATCCTC